CAAAATATGAAACATAAGAGGAGACAAAGTAATCACAAATATAACTGATATGTGGCCAAAAATGTTCATTGCGACATTATGCATGACAGTCTAAAATGAGAAACAACCCAAATGTTCCAAGCTGTACAATAGAATCTGATACAGTCATTGAAGTTATTTTTGAAGACTATTTAGTGACATGAGAAAATATTCTTCATATCACATTAAGTAGAAGAGCAATTTATTAATATTATTATATAATCTCCAGTTCTGTAAGCATGATTTCTATGTCATCATCTAAAGTCATTGCTAAAAATGTGGACAGATTGGGCTTGGTCCACATGCTGTGGGAGGCCCACCCAAGTTAGCCTCCTTCTGGATCAAGGCGGACCCTCTTCTGGCTTGATGGTTTAATTGTCAAAATTCCACTAACTGAACCTTCATCTATCAATGGCTCCTAAACGCTTCCTGGAGGAGGCTGCAAAGAATCACTTTGAGAGATGACTTACAAAAACAAAACCAGATTTCTGAGCCTCACCGAGGGATTCTGATTCAGGGGGTCTGGGATGGGGCCCTGGGATCTGAATGTTTCAAAAGGTCTCCAGGCGATTCTGACGCATAGCCAGTTTCAGGAACCACGGCTTTCTAGCTCATAATTTACCAAGGTTTTGAAAATATATCAAACGCCTTTTAGAAGTACATTTCTAGATGTGAGTTAAGGAAGAGAATTTGCTGAATTAAAAAAAACTTTTTTTTGGCCATACATTTCTCCTATCCTCTGACAGTGGCTGCTGTTTGTCAGGTAGGTGACGTAATGAGTGGACAAGCAAGACCTGCAGTGTCTTTTGCACTGAAAAGTGCAGCCATCTCTACACCCCACCCTGCCCTGGAGCTCCCCCTCCCTCCTCAGGATCCTTGCTCCATGTCCTGCGTCTTCTCAACCTTCAGAAGCATCAGCTGCTCCCCTCTACTGCCTCCCCTCTCTGAACTTCTAACCCTGCTGAGGTGGTGCTCATCTTTAACAGAACTCCGTCAGGCCTGTGACCAGGGCATGGTTCCTCCCCTTCAGGGCCCAGTGCCTGAGAGTTTGCTATATTGGATGCCTCATCTGCCACACCCTCCTCGATCCATGGCCACCTGGCTTCCATCACCACCACTTACTGACACAGCTCTAGCACATGTCACCCTGGCCTCCTGACTGCTAATCCACTGGTTCTGTTTCAATCCTTTTCCCAGAAGTATGTGACACTGCTGGCCACACCGTCTCTTTCCCCGGCATTTCTGGGGGTCATCTGTTGTTTCACTTGTTGAGCATCTATTTCCCTTGGTTTGTTTTTTAATAGCAGCGCCCCTCCCCCACTCTTAGTCCATATGGTTTGGAGGGCTGACCACCCCACTCCACTGGGGCTGGAAAACAGGCAGAATGGCCCGGAGTTGATGACGCCAGCCTCCCCACCCACAGGGGCAACTGCCAGAGAAGGAACCAACATGAAGAAGTCAGCACAGCTGACACAGAGTCCTGGTGACATCATCTGGAGTCCTGCACCCAGCCATGCCTGAAGCCAGCACATCCTGGTTTGGCCAGTTTCATGAAATTTTTTTTTTTTTTTTACCTTTTTACTTAAGCCATTTTCAGGTGGGTCTCTGTCACTTGCAACCAAGAGCCCTAAGATAGTGCTAAGCCTCCCTACTCCCCTGCATTCCTCCACCTCTCCAGTGACTTCCCCCCGTGGCTCCACAAGTTCTTCCAGATGCCCTACACACAGCAGTGTTCCTCAGAGTCCCATCCTTGGTTTCTATTCCCCAGATCTTGGCTACCAAATGCTGACACTCCGAAATCAGTGAATCAGTCCAGAATTCCCACTAAGCTCCAGACTCATACGTCCAACCTGCTTGTGAACATCTCCACTTGGGTGCTCACTTAAACACAACAATCGTTCTTGTTGTTGACGTCATCGAGTGAATTTTCACTCATAGAGACCCCATGTGACAGAGGAGAATTGCCACATAGGGTTTCCTTGGCTATATAATCTTACAGGAGCAGATCGCCAGGCTGGTGGGTGGGTTCAAACCACCAAACTTTTGGTTAGCAGATGAGTGGTTAACCACTGTGCCACCAGGGTTCCTTAAACACAACAACTGTAAACTCTTAATTATGGCCCTGCTCTTCCTCTTCTTGTGTCCCCACCTCAGTGAATGGCTCCACCACCCACCCAGTTACCCAAGAAACCTTTTGGGCCAGTTTTGTGATTTGGGTGAGAAAAGAGTCTAGCATCCTCCCTCTATCCATCCTCTTCCTTGCTCTTAGGCCCCTGATGATCCTCCACGCAAGCGTATATGTATTTTCTTGATATCCAGGCTCTTCACCCACCCCATCTAGGAGACCTTTTCCTGAGAACAAGGTATACACTTAATTGTCCCACTCCTATTGAATGTCCTGGCCTACCATGTGTTAATGGGGACCCTAAAATCAGCTTAATTCTTTCCAGCCATGGAATAAAAAGAGATTAAAACTAAGATTTCATCAAAGGTGTGGAATGGACACCAAAGGCTTTGCTGAGCAGTTCGATGGTAAGGAGAGGTTTCCCTCCACATTAGCTCTGTGTCATCAGTGACCTCTTGGGACACGGCAGGACGCCAGGTGGATAAGAATCTAGGACTATGTAGATAGGTGCGCCGCACACCCAACTATGAGCTTGTGCTCAGTCACTAGAAGCAAACAACTCAGGCCTCTGACCCACAGATCAAAGATAGCCATGGATGAGGAAGAAACCAGAACCCGTCTGCTCACCAGCTCCAGTACAGGAATCCCTAGGAGGTCTGACCTTTTGCTTGGGGCTTTCCTTCCAGAAACTACATCTCCTCCACCTAGCTCTAGTCTGAAACCATACTCAGGTCTCCTGTGGCCTAACCAGTCTTCTTGTCCAGCCTGATTTTCTTCTAACCTCACAGGTCCACCCTGCACCCACTGCCTAACAGTAAGGCCAATTAGGCCAGAGACATCATGGAGAACAAGGGGCTTCCTGATAAGGTGACTCCTCCCTCACCCTGGGGTTGCACATGGCTCCGGTGCCTACTGAGAAGTGGTTGATGTGGATGGAGTTGCCAGGAGTCAAACCTCAGAACTCCTCTTCAAACTATGCTTAACTATTTCACAAAGATTCCCCCTAATAATGAAATAAAGAATGAGAAAAAATGTATATTAGAATAGTAAACTGAAAAAAAAAAAAAAAAAGATGGATTCGTGTTCCTGTGAGTTGTGTGCTCTTTTCTCATAGTTGCTTCTTCTCCAGGCTGGGAAGCTGAGAGAGGCTACATCACCTCCAGGTTGGTTCTACACCAAGGACGGGTTCCCTAATTACACACGGGCACAATAAGGCCCTCATGGCAGAGACAAACAGGAAACCACCTGGGGTACTCAGAACATGCCACTACTAATGTCTGACGTATTATCATTATAACAATGCTTTGCCCTTTCTCTTCATCTATATATTTCTATATATTTCAAAAATACTCTTATACCACTTGGCCATGATACTTTATTATTCCAAGTACTTAAAAACTGGCTAGTTATTACTGAGACCTTAAACAGACTATCTGTTTGTTATCTTTTAAGGCACTCGTTACTGTAATATTTTTATGTTCATTTTGAGCGTCTGGGGTGATCTATTTAACACCATTTTCAGCTTATTAATAAGCATCAAATAAAAGCAATTTTAAAATTATTTTCTTCAGTCTTCCTTCACTTTCAATTTATTGTCTAGAACTATATTTTAATAAACAGTGTATTTGCTTTGCTAAATTCATTCACAGTGTATCTGGAGGCTTGAATTTAACATATTTCCTGTAGTGACAACTAGTCCTCTATTTGTAGGAGCTATTTAGGTCACTGGAGTGGAGAAAGAGGTTGCTACTTAATAGCAATGGCATGCATCCAAATATAGATGTGGCTTTCTCAAACACCTGTTGAACATCAATGATGAAGAGGCTGTTAGAATTTCCAAAACTCAGAACCAAAACCTGAAGTGATCAGTAACTTTGCTTCAGTTGACACAGGGTTTAACCAAGGAGAAAACAAGTCTCCTTACCAAAGAAAACAAGTCTTCATACACTGGCTGCTTTGGAAATAAAATAGCCACTTCAAAAAGCAATCTGTTTCAGTGTAAACTATTTCCTATCAAATTTGATTGGAACCACAGGGCATGCATGGCAATTGCTTGCTTTCGGCAACACAGCAGGCATGACAAATATTTTCGGTTGTCAAGGGTGAGCGATGAGGAAACGACCCACCTAAGAAATGGAAACTGACAAAGAGTAACACGACACTCCCCCTTAGTTCCACAGGGCGCGACTCACTTCCTATGGCTGGGTAAAGGCGAGGCGTGCAAGAGCCTGTCTATCTCCTTCCCTGAAACAGTGGTGGGGGGTGACATGCAAGGACGCCAAGGGACGGGGGACATGGACAACATCCTCTACTATTGCCATTCACTCATTGGTAAATAGTTATGAGCCGGGCACTCTGTTAGGCGCTCCTCTCTCCAACTATAACCCTATAGCCCACTCTGACAGCCCGCACCTCTGTCCCATTTCCAGCCATAGGCCTCATTCCCTCATCAGAAGATGCTATTACAGCCTCGCTCTCCCTCTCAGGATGGGGGCCAGGAGGGCAGGATACAGCCAGCTAGAGAAGCGTCCTTCTGACAGCAGGAAGGAGCGCTCGGAGGCTGCGGGGAACGGGTTCCAGGAACTCTGCCCGTGTGGGAAGTGCCAGCCGCTACCCAAGAGGCCGCGCCCGGGGGTGGGGCTGCGGGCATCCGGGCTCCACGCTAGGAGGGGGAACCTGAGGTCACGCAGATGCTGGAGTGGGAAGCAGTGGCGACGGGGTTCGGTGATGGGAAGTGGGCGCCGCGGGACGCTCACGGCGGAGGGAAGTTGGTGACAACACGCGCACGTGGGGAGGACCGTCCCAGGTGGTGGCGGCAGGGTCCCAGGCCCGGCTGAGGGGCGGGCAAGGGGCTTACCTGATGAAGGTAGTCTTGCCCGTGCTGTACTGGCCCACCAACAGGATCATGGGCTTGTTCTCGAAGTCGGCGTCCTCCAGCGCGGGTGAGTGGAACTCGTGGAAGCGGTACGCCTCCTCCAGCGGCAGCACCTTGCGCAGGTAGAGCGAGCGCAGGCCGCCGGTCACCGTCTGCACCGTGTCCGCGCCGCCCACGCGCTCGCGCCCGCCCGCCTGCCGCCCCATCCAGCTGAACATCTTGCCGCCCTCCGGTCCGCTCTGCGCCCGCACGACTCGGTGATCCCACACCCCGCTCGACCCACCCGGGTTCACACTGAGCTGTCCCAGCTGCGCTCGCTGCCGCCCGAGCGCGGCCCCGCCTCGCGTCGCAGCAGCCAATCGCCGGCCTCTACGTCACGGGCCCTCGTTCACTATTCAGAAGTATTCTCTCAGGTTCTTCTTCATTGGGCCCCTGCCAGCGCGGTGGAAGCGCTAGCCAATGGAGAGGAGGTTCTTAATAAATTATTGATGACGGAGTCCGCCTCGAGGACGCGGCAGGGCGAGAGTGTCTCCCCGAGCCGGTGGCCCAGACCTGGCACTCGGGAGGCTCTCTTCTGGTCGCCAGGACACCACCTCCGGCCAGGTGGCGTCGGCTTCCGGGTAAATCTGAGCTGGAAAGAACGAGCCTCCGGAGGCTGCTTAGGTTCTTGGAACATTTGCTTATCCCAGGCCTGTGGAGGTCGACATTCGGACGAAGAGTTCAGAAACTTGATAAATTGCAGATTCTAATTCCGTAGGTCGGCTATGGGGCCCGATACTCTGCATTTCCAACAAAGTCTCGGGTGTTGTCGATGCTGCTGGTCCATGAACCACACTTTGAGTAAAAAGGCTGTGGTGGTAAGAGGCTCAGGACTTGACATCAAAAGATCTGGGTTCAAATCCTGATTATATAAATTAATGGCCTTAAATGCAGTAAGTTACCTCTCTGCCTCAGTTTTCCTTGTTTGTAAACTGCGAACTCCTTGGAGTTGCTATGTGGATTAAATATTTAGAGGAAGCAAAGGTAACTAGGGAAGTGAAAAGAAAGCCGAGGGAAAATGAAGTCAAACATCTGCCTCTTGTCAAAATAAAGATTGAAACGTAAAAATAAAATGAAACCATAGAGCTACTAAAAGAAGGTACAGATGAAGATTTATAAAATTTTGCTTGGGAAAAGCCTTTCTTATCAACACCAAAGAAAGAAATTATGAAAGAATAGGTCAATAGAGTTGACAACAACAACAAAAAACTTTAATGTGTTAAAAAACAAACAAAACAACAACCATAAAAACCAAGCCCGTAAACAAAGGCAAAGGATAAATTGGGAAAAATATTGAGAGACATGTGATAGATATATATTAAAGCTATTATGCTTTTTAAACCCTGTCGGTGTTGAGTCGATTCCAACTCATAGCAACCCTGTAGGACAGAGTAGAACTGCCCCCACAGGGTTTCCAAGAAGCGGCTGGTGGATTTGAACTGCTGTCTTTTTGGTTAGCAGCCAAGCTCTTAAACAACTGTGCCACCGGGGCTCCTTTATTAAGAAAAAAATGAATATTTCATTAGAAAATGAGCAGAGGACACAGACAATAAAAGAAATACAATTGGTCAATAAACATTGAACAATGCTGACCTCCGTTAAAAATCAAAGAAACACAAACTTAAACAGATAATATTAAGAATGGCAGAATTTTATTTTTCTAAGATAATGTCTAATGTGCACAAGAGTATGGGAAAATGTATTTTCTCATACATTTCGAAAGATAGTATAAATTGACAACTTTTCTGGAGTCCATATTGTTAACAAAAATCTTGAAAATGCACATATGAGACTTCTGCTTCTGCAACATCATACTTAATGGTGAAATGACTGAATGCTTTCCCCCCTAAGATCAGGAACAAGGTAAAGGTATCTGCTGGTAAAGGTAAAGGTATCTAGTTAATATCTTGCTATAGGTTATAGCCAGTACAATAAGGCAAGAAAAAGAAAAGATACCCAGATTGGATAGGAAGAAATAAAATTGTCTTTATTTGCAGAAGACATGATTATCCATGTAGAAAATTCTAAGGAACCATCAAAAAAAAGTTACTATAACAAGTAAGTGAGCTTAACATGGTTGCTGGATACAAAATCAATACATAAAAACAAGCTATATTTCTGTATACTAGAAATGAACAATCAGACATTGAAATAAAAAATTAATACCATTTGCAACAGCACCAAAACTATGAAATACAGATAAATATGACAAAAAATACAAGATTTAAAATTCCAACAGCATTTTTTTTACAAAAATGGAAAAACTAATTCTCAACTTCATATGGAAAGGCAAGAGGCCCTGAATAGCCAAAGTAATTTTGAAGAAGTACAGAGTAGGAGCCTTCATACTTCCCAGTTTCAAAACATACAGCTAGAGTAATAAAAACAGCCTGGTACTGGTTTAATGATAGATACATAGATCACTGGAATAGAACTGAGAGTCCAGAAATAAAACCATTCATCTATGGTGTCATGGTTAAAGTTGCGTGGCAACTTGGCTGGGCCATGATTCGCAGGGGTTTTGTAATTACATAATGATGTCATTTGGCAGTTATGTAATGATGTAATCACCTCCACTATGAGATCTGATATAATGTAATCATTTCCATGATGAGGTCTACTATGAGCAGCCAATCAGTTGAAAGGGAGTTTCCTTAGGGGCATGGCCTGCATCCAGTATATATGGTCTTTCTGGCAAAGCTTGCTGGATTTTGCTCTGCTCTGGATGCTGCATTCGGCTTGTCATCATCTGACCTCCAGTCTTGGGACTTGAGCCAGCAGCCTGTCGCCTGACCTGCTGATCTTGGGTTCGTCAGCCACTACAGCTACATGAGTCAGGAGAAGCCTCCAGCCTGACTCATGACCCACAGACTTGAGACTTTCTAACCTCTATAACCACATGAGCCACTTCCTTGATATAAATCTCTCTCTCCCTCCCTGTCTCTCTCTCTCTATATATATGTATGCTTCACTGGTTTTGCTTCTCTAGGGAATCCAGCTTAAGACAGTTGGTACTGAGAATGGCTCTAGAGAAACAAAATTGTAAGGATGAGATTTCTAAACTGGTTCTCAAGTCTGGTTAGTTTTAAAGACGTTGATGGCTCTGCTTCCAGTAGTAAAGAGGGCACTGATAATCCATGACTTGAGGTGGCAATACAGATATGCAAAATATCACCAACAGATCAAGTATTGATGGGAGACAAGGCACTGGGTGATCACATGTTTGATACTTTTCTACAATTTTGTCAGAAAGAGAAGTATAAGGAAGCTGGTTGGTTGGTCCTACTTTCAATAGACAAGATGGTGAAGGAAAGACATGGGCTCAGGGCTTTAGAGTCACAGCTCAAGTGCTATATAAAAAACCTCAAAGTTGCTACTTTTGCCCTGAAAGAAAGCTTTATTTCTTGTAGTAATAGAGTTGATATTGTCAGTAACCAAACCCAGAGATTTATCGTAAGAGTGGCTGAATCACAATGCCAATCGAATTACAAACCTTGAATGGTATCTGAAGTAAGAGTGAGGTCATTGATTGGGAAGAAATGGGATCTTGAAACTTGGGATGAAGATATATGGGCAGATAATTGGGAAGGTGGGGAAACTGAGCCCCTAAATTCCATTGAATATCTCTTGCCAACAAAACCATTAGCCCCTCCACTCCCATCTGATGATATTAACCCAGCTGTGTCTGAAAAGCGTTTATCTGAGATATCACTTGGGGTGGTGTCTGAGTCATTGCCTGGGACACCATATGAAGTAGATGTCTTATAAGACATTGCTGAATGTTCTCAAAACACATCCCCACCACCCATTTTTGCTTCTAGACCTATAACTTAAGTCCCAGCAAGCCCCAAAAGGTGAAGTACAAAGTGTGACCCAAGAGGAGGTACACTACACTCCAAAAGAACTGCTTGATTTTTCTAATATGTACAAACAGAAACCTGGAGAATATGTATGAATGGCTATTAACAGTGTGGGATAATGGTACAAGGAGCATAAAGTTGGATCAGTCAGTTTATTCATATGGGTCCTGGTGGCGTAGTGGTTAATTGCTTGGCTGCTAACCAAAAGGTTGGCAGTTCAAATCCACCAGCCTCTCCTTGCAAACCCTATGGGGCGGTTCCACTCTGTCCTATAGGGTCGCTATGAGTCAGAACCATCTCCATGGTGTCTAACAACAACAATAACAAGCACAAATTCTTCATTCAATGTTTCAGCCTGAGAGGTTAGGAAAGGTTCTGATAGTTTATTTGGTTGGATAGCTGAAGCAAGGATTTTGTGGTGGCTTTCACTAAATCAAGTTGAAGTACCAGACCTGCCTTGGTATACTACAGAAGAAGGTATCCAAAGGCTTAGAGAGACTGACATGTTAGAGTGTATTGATCAGGTTAGACCCACAGATCCACCCATGGAGTGCCCAGAGGACACACCTTTTACCACAACGATGAGGAACAAATTTGTGAAGGGAGTCCCAGCATCCTTGAAGACTACTGTGATTGCTATTTTACGTAAGTCATATTTGACAGTGGGAACTGCCCTAACTGAATTAAGACACGTAACTACAATGGAAAGAGCCCTGGTGGTGCAATGGTTAAAGTGCTTGGCTGCTAAGCAAAAGGTCAGTAGTTTTACAACCTTGGAAACCATTTGGGACAGTTCTGCTGTGTCCTATAGATTACTATGAGTAGGAATTGACTTGATGGTGGTGGGTTTAGGTTTGTAACTACAATGGGGCTGATTGGACTCCCTGGTGGTCAGGACCAAGTGGCAGCACTCAACTGACAAAGACAAGGTGGGTGTGGTTGCCACAAGGGACAGCGAAATCAAGCAGTAATCAGAATAGTCTGACTTGTATGTACTTACAGTGCTGGCTACTTAGTCATGGTGTCCCTAGGAGTGAAACAGATGGGAAATATATTAAATATTTACTTGATCTGTACAAATGGAAGAATTCTAGGTCAAGTGAATGGCAGTCTAACTCGAATTACCAGAAGAGAGAGTCACAGCCCCTCACATAATTCCCAGACTTGAGTTTTAAAACCCACAACACCTTTAATGAAGGGGAGACCAGGCCCCCTTGGGGAAGGACTCCACTACACTGCCAAAAATTTATACTGTTAGAATTTCTCCCAGCCTTCCCCAAAGGGATGTAAAGCCTTTTACGAGAGTGACTGTTCATTGGGGAATAGGGAGTAATCAGACTTTTCGGGGATTACTGGATACTGGCTCTGAACTGCCACTAA